CCACTACTACTACTACTACTACTACTACTACTACTACTACTACTACTACCACTACAAGTACTACTACTACTACTACTACTACTACTACTACTACTACTACTACTGCTACTTCTACTACTGCTACTACTACGCTTTCCGCTCCCACTGCCACTACCACGACCACGACCAGTTCCACTACCACCACCACCGTTGTGGTCGCCATTGATCCGTGTTGTAGTTTCAGTACTTTAGCTGGTATGGAGTTTTGGGCAGCTCTGATCGGGATTGGCTTTACCGCAGTTTTTCTCGTCACCATCGTGTTCTTGTCCTTGTCTTCTGTCCGTCGCTCTTTCTCAGCTTGCACAGTCGGTGCTTCTTGCTTGAACTGTTTGACTTGCGATTGTAGACCCCATGATTTGGCGGATTGTTGCTGTCACTCGCCGACTCTCCACCCTCCTGGGGTGCCACTGCTTCTCTCAGATCCCTTAGGAGCCCAAAGCCAAAGGCAAAGTGAAAAGGCTGTGGTCCTAAGCATCAGCTCGATACTTCTCGAAAAGTCCCGCTACTAGTACCTGAGTTCGGAGCCCGAGCCATGTTGTGGCCCGTACTCGGCCCGTACCCTGTAGGCTGCAGCGTGTCTCGGGCTTTGGGCACACAGCTGCTATCGAGACCAGCTGGGTCACGCAGCTTTCGGTGCCAACGATCAGTGCCCGGGCTATGAAACAATCAAGAGGAAAGACAGGCGGACAAAAAGTGGTGCGAAGTAGTGGTTGCAGAGTTCGGGTGCATTTGAGGGAGCCGAGAAGACGAAGCCATCTCACCAGCCAGCAAGCTGTTTCTGGAACTTTCGCAAGCCCGACAGCTCAGCACTTTTTCGCGTCCAATGTCTCCGATCCTGGAGCTTGCGCCCTAAACCGAAAGCCGTGATGAGCTTGAGCCCCAGGAGATTCAAGACCCTGAACCTTTGAACGCTGCGCTTCGAGACTTCAACGCACCCTGAAATCTTAGGACCTTTAACCTTCTTGTCATCAGGTTTCCCGTAGCTGTCCTTCTTCAGCATTTCAACCTCGGCGGAGAGCTTAGCTTAGCTGCCGGGGGAATCCTGGGTTGGAGGCTTGATGAGACTTGAGAGGGAGTTGTTGGAAACGGGCCAATAGGCTACAAGGGCAGTATATACGTGTTCTTCGAAGGCTACCGAATCTTGGAAGGCAGGCGACTCCGACGCAGCCCAGTGCCAAAGTAGTTGTTTTTTGAGGATGATGAGAGTGATGATCGGACCAATGTTGGCGATGGTCCTCGTGGCAGCTATTGACCAGTGATCGTGATGGTGATGGTGGTTAGTGAGTTGAGTACGTGCTTCGATGGCAACAGAGAGGATTTGCATTCTTTTTGGGGCGTTTGGCGCATCTTTCGGGACTCCTACCTGCCTTCAGGCTACTTCCTCTACGACACAGTGCACGTGGCCGTGTGGGACCAGAAGTTCATGGAGCACTCGGAACTTCTTTGGAGGTTTGGACTTCCCCCGGAAGTGAGGAATGCAGACTTAAGCTATGAGCCCGGGGTCCGGGCCAGCCAAGACTGAACAACGAATGAGTTCTTGAACCAGTTCTTAGGGTCACGCACGAATCGATATGCAAGAGACACGGACGGAGACAGACGGACGAACGGACTGAAGGAAGGAAGGACGGAAAGACAGCATGAACCTGTTGGAAGGCAGGAAGTAGCAATACGAATCGCTAAGCCACGAGCCCTAGAGCTTATCCCTTCAAAAAGCCATTGCCTGCACCCAAGGCACCATTTGATCGCCATTGCTGGCTATGCTACCAGCGAGATTGCGAATGTTTTTGGCCTGGCCAACGCGGTGAACACCTGGATCACCGAGGTGGGCCGAGGACGTGGGGGGGGGTCAGCTTCTGAATTAGTGTTTAGGGCCTTTAGGGTTTAGGGTTTAGGTCTTGTTTCTGGAGTTCATCAGGCATTTTCAGGAGCGTCAACTGAAGCGGCCGGGGCCCAGCTGAATACCCAACACCCTAAATACTAAACTAAGCACTAGACCCCAAATCCAATCTTCAAAAGTGAAGACTTCAGCCCCTGAGACTTGGATTCTCGCAGGTGGGCTCGGTGATGTACTCTGCATATCTCCTAAAGAGGACGGATGGGCTCTACCTGGCCTTTGCCGCCCGCCAGCAAAGCTGAGCTGTAAGGTAAGCAGAGCCTTGCAAAATGTGCTAGAAGCCTGGCATTCGACGTGATCTTCAAATCAACCAGGAACCCTGCTCCTTGTCTTTCTGAATAGAAGATGTTATGAAGATTCTGCGGACCCCAACTAGTCATCAGTCAAGACATTCTGTGTCTCAAGATCCGGCCCGTCTTGATGATGACCTGCTCGCCATTCGGCGAAGGCGCGAACCCAGAACTGAACCCGACAAGGCCCCTCGAACCGTCGCCATGCGAATCCTCGGGCGTCCACAACTCTGTGCGAACTCATCTCACCAGCAATTGGCTGGAAGAAAGCTTGAACGTGGCCCGTTTCATGTGAAGGCTTTATACGTCAGGCTAAGAGCCGGTCTTTTGTGTGTTTATTTGTTTAGGTGTTCAGGCTGTTCGTGTCTGCTGCATGACAGGCGTGCGTTTTGTCTAAAATCCAATGCCGGTAAGCTGTGCAGGTCACAGGTACGATGCAAGTCCCAAAGCAAATCCGCAAGTGCTAACAAGCCAAGACCCCCCCAAGATTAATATCATGCAGTATAGGGTACTATAGTATAGTGTAGCATAGTATATCAAAACATCATGATATAATATATAGTCCAATCTAATATATAGTATAATAATAAGTATAGTAGGGCTCAGATTGCCTGCGACAGGAGCAGGAAAACTTAGCAGCCCCAGCGTCCATCAGACGCGTTTGGGTTGAGCCTGTGAGCAACACGCCTCACAAAGGCTCCCCTAATAGCCATCGTCATCTTCGCCGTCAGCGTTCCAAAGCTCGGAAAGCCTGGGGACAGGGACGCGCCGTTTCCTGGCGCAAGAGAGAGCTCCTTGCGTGGCACCACGGTACGTGCCCGCATTTTCGCAGCTTGCTACTCCCGGCGCGCCGGGATATGGGACGAGGAGGTAAGAAACAACAAGGATGGCAAAACGAGCAAGATCCCAGATATTGGCGTGGTGCTTGGTCGCCAGCATTGCGCGGGGGTGGTGCGCCCTGGAAGGACTCGGATCCCTCCAGTGGCAAGGCCCTTGCCTTCCCCTCGTACGAGTCGGTCTCCCTCACGAAGACGCAGGCCCAGGCCATTGCGGTCATCGAGGTGGAGGAGGATGGAGCAATGGTTCCCTCAGTGCAACACGCAGTGAATCTCGCGCGAAAGGCAGAGATCCGAGTGGCCAAATTGAAGAGAGGTATCAAGACAACGAAGGAGAAGTGGACCCTCTTCGAGGCCCAGACCAAGGAAAATTTCCGGAAGGAGTGTGCCAGGTTTTTCCGCGAGCAACAGCGCCAGGAGAAAGAGCTGGCGGAGGCAGTGACATCACAAGAGGAAGCCCGGGCTGCAATCCGGTTTGCTGTGGATGCAGCTGGTTCTGCGCCGGTGGAGGAAGTACCCGAACTGCCCTCGGTGGACGAGGTTTTCGAGGACTGGTCCAGAGAGGACGAACATGCTTTTCAGCAAGTTTTGCATCGCGCATTTTCAGCTCCGCGCGATGGCACCCTTTTTCGGGGCACAGGTGTACCTCCCAGGACTCCTCATCGTGCCCTTTCTCAGTCGACTACGAGCAATGTGCCGGCTGGAGAGGCGCACCATGCCCCAACAGATCCATACTTCGAGCCAGACGGGGACAGTGCTATGGCGGATGCGGAAGGTCCCCCGCCTCCGGGGTTGAGCCCGGTTGGCTTGGGGCAGAAGCCCAAACCGCCTGCTCAGCCGCGTCGTGGGGTCAAAGAAGCAGCCAAAACCCCAGTGCAAACAGAGCCTTTGCGGGGCCCTGGGATGCAGTCCAAGCTCGACGAGAAGAGGCGTGCCCTTCGCCCCTTTGGTGGGCCGGCCCCGGCAGCCCCGGCGGAAGCGGTAGCAGTGCCATCGGACTTGGACCTGGAACGGCCAGAAGGTACAACCCCGCACTTCATAGACGACGACGGGCCATTTGGTGCAAGCCCTGGTCTTGGCCGTCTGGATGGCTAGACTCACTGCTATGGCGCCACTCCGGAGATGTAGAAGGACACCTGTCCCAGCCTGAAGGACCATGCATTGTCTGCCGCCTTAGGGGGCCCTGCCATTTTGAGACGTTCCCGTCTCGCTGTGCTATGTTCCCCTCGGGCAAGGCTCCTTGCATGTGACCTTTCAGGTTGTGGATAGTTGGTTCTTCGTTTTGAGTCTTTGTGAGAGGCATGTAGTGATCAGCCTGTACAGCTGCCTTCTCTTTGAGGCATGTTTCGACCTTCTTTGGCAGGGTTGTGAGCCTGGCACTTACCTTCAATACTCTGTCATTTCTGCTCTCTCGTCCTCGGCCGCCTTCCGAGTTCCTTTGGCTTTGGTTCTCGTGTGGGTGGGCCCTATCCTGGACTTTGCATCTTTGGGTCCTTTTCGCCCTGCCAGTTTTTTCTATGCCTCGGCTTGGTTCAGGTCCCAATGTTCAGGTCTTTTCTTGTGTGCGGATGTTCCTGTCAGGATTTCCCGCTGCAGCATCACCACCTGGGGTACCCTAGGGTTTAGTCCTTCCCCTAGGGCTGGTTGTGGTTTAGGAGGAGCGCCAAACACTTGTATCGGTGGCTCGGGGACAAGGGCCCTCCTTCTGCATCCCTGCCCGTCTGATGTCAACTCGCTTGGGGCAGATGGTCTGCTCCTCTCAACAACAGGCCTTCATGTTCAGGTTGGTGAGCCTTACTCGAGGTTGGGCGCCAAATACCCGACAGTATGGATGTGCAGTCTGCAGTTTGGGCCGAGTGGCCTCTCCTGTGCCTGTGCTTACATGGAATTCTGGACGCAGACCAAGGTTGTTGCGTCCTCGGAGGCGAAGCTGGCGCTCCTGGCTGTGTTCGCTGTTGCTTGGTTGCGTTACAGTGCCCAGCCCCGTGTCTCCACACGCATTGGCCTTCTCTGTGTGGCTCCTGCCTGGGGCTTCTGCTATGGCGCGTAATGAGGTCCCGGCTGATGCCGGAACTGGGCCTCCAGCTGTGAGACCACCACATTTGCTGTCGCCAGATGAGCTCACTTCTCATGTTGGCACATGCGACGCAGGCCCCTCACCCGCTGATATTCCAACTCCCAGTAATGACCCCTATTGGTCTGTTGCCAGGCTCGAAGAGGCCAGACGTGCTAGGGAGCCTGGCGACAATGAGGGTTGGTTAGGTGTTACTGTATACACCCCGCACTACAAGACGGCATCATTTGCGGTGTATGCAGGGCCTGTGCCTTCCGCTCAGCGTGTCATAGACCTAGTGAGTGAATCGCAAATCGGAGTTCCACACGGTCTCTTTGACACTGTGGTACCGCTTAGGCCGCAGGCTCATGTCGGATATGCATCCTTCATCCGTTTCAGCAGCAATATTCGTAGATTGGGGGGCGGAGAGGGCATGGCGGCTGTAGTGGCTGACCTTTCCCGTGCCGGCGGTCCGTACTTTGCTCTCACGCTGCCAAAAAGTATCTCCTATGCAGAGCTTAGGGATTATTTGTATCCTATGACCAGCCATCACGATGAGGAGCTTCGTATTTATATTGGCTGGCGTCCAAAACCATGGCCTGCATGTGCTATGGTGCAACTTCATGACGGGGATGTGATAACTGGATTGTATGCAGCTGAGGCAGATGTTGCTCTGCGCTTTGTGGACCTGTTCGAGACTACTGGGAGTTTCGGGCCACTGCATCATATGCCGGTCCCTACCCTACGCGAGGGCGTTTGTGTCTTGCACCGAGAACAGAGGTTCTGTTTTCCACATAACAGATCCCCCGATAAGACAATCGTCCAGCGGATTCTTGAGGACCTTCAGCTGAACCCCAACGATGTCCAGATGTGTAGTTTTCCAATTGCCGATTTGGAAGTGCAAGGGGAGCTTTGTTCGTTCCTAGTGGCAGTCCACGACACCCCCAGGCCGACTACCTGGGAGGTGCAGCAGCTCCCGGTGCGACACATCTTCGTCCTGCTGGATTTTCGTCCACTTGGACTTAAGCCTCGCTTCATGTACACCACTTTTCCTGCCCTTCATATCCCAAGCATCGCGTCGAGATATGAGATATAGTTCTCTCTCCAGCACGCAAGCTTGGGGTTTTTGGTGGTGAACGGGTCCGTGATGACGTTCATATCCAGGGCAATTGTACGCTGGTGTTCTTCGCCGATGAAGCAGACCCGGTCCCCGCCGATACTGGTTCTTCAGACTCAGATGTGGACCCATCCCCCTCGCCGGAGGCCCCTGTAAGCTCCCCCCAGCGCCCGCCAGCCGAGGTGCCTCGCAATGATACGCCTGTGTTGCCACCGGCTAGTCATGCTTGGGAAGATAGTTGGGAGTCTAGGCCTCCTGCAGACTCTGCTTGGGACTCTGGGGCCCCTTTGTCCTCTGTGGGCCAAGACGACCGGGTCCCTGAAGGACCTCCTCCTTGGGATATGCCGGTCGCCTCGACGGCTTTGCAAAACGAGGGTTGGGAAACTGAGTGGACAAGTGATACTTGCCCTGCACCACATGAGGCAGGTACGATGTCGGGCGACGGGGCTGAGCCTGTCTCCGACCCAGGGCACAGTGATGGAGGCCCTGCAGGCAGGCCTGTTGTAGATCCTGGCATAGCGGCAACTGCCAGTTTTCGTAATGTCAGTATCACCGTCTTTGTGGTTGTCCCAGACTACATCCCAGAGCTGTATACTGTGTCCATCGCCGCCCCATGTGGGGTTGACGCTCTGCTTTCCGCCCTGCAACAAGTTCGAGGCAATAGGAATTGGGGAACCCCTGTTGCCTTTCGCCAAGTTGTACAGGTGTGCCCACAGCCTTCACCGCAATTTGCCGTTTTCGCTGGGTCTCCCGTGTGGACGGCGAACTCAGTTGTGGTTGTCTATGACTGTCGAAGCATAGACTCGAGGATATTTGCAGTTGCCTCTAGTGCTCAGCTCAACCGTGAGTCGCTGCTTCTCGCTGCTGGCTATCCGGCCGAGGCTACACACAATGTTTTTGTGCACGGCTTACTCCACCCGTTAGC